ATTCGTTGTTTACATCTTTTAGTGGATTGATCATTGATCCAGCTTCTGACAAACACATGGTAAATAAAGTCACTAATTTTCCGACTTTATGAGAGATAACAAACACCACATGGATGCACATTCCAGGTTTTTCTTCTTTCAGGGCCAATGAGAAGCAGAGTAGGGGCGGGTCTTCGCATAATTAAATAATGCAGCAAACGCCAAATTCGCACACACCACTGAGAGCAATCAGTTATAGTCGTCCACATCTGATGAAGTGTGTGAAAATTCAAGTCAAAGATATTGTGATTTTTTTGTTATCCATATCGCTCAGCCATACCTGGTGTGTTAAGCTGTTCATGTTTAAATGTGTAATGTGGCATGGATTGTTTGAAGTTTGGTGTGATAAATGAAAAGCACCACAACCTCAGCAATTAAGATATTGTTCTTTGTCCAGTATTGCTTATGCCATAGATCAGTGATTCTCAAACTTTTTTCAATAATGTACCCCCTTTGAAAAAAAAAATCGTGGCGAGCCGTGACTTTTATACCTAGGCCCTCTGACCCCCCTTCCCTCGAGAAAAAAAAGAAGAGATATTACCTCACAGCGTATACTTCAGCGGAATATCAAAACCTTGGCCCGGGGTGCAAAACGCATCAATGACAGCGACCCTCTACCCAGGGTTGGGAGGGTTACTTTGTAAATGTAATCAGTTACTGAATCCGAGCGAAGCTTACTTCCGGGTTTTAGGACGCGTCACTGCACCACTTGCATAGACCTCACAGCGGGCCGAACTTGTCATAAAGTCCGCGAAAATAAAGCCCGCCCATTTAGAGGGAAGATATGATTGGTCAATTGTACCGTCATTTGACATTGAGGGACCAACAAGCTCTCCCGTCTTCACATAACTCGCAGAGACGGCATTTAACCCTTCACATTCCAACAGAAACTGAACAGGCAGATTCGAAGGATTTATTTCTTTGGAAATATTATTTTAAATACAATTAAATCAAGTTATTTTGGTAAAACTAATGAAAAATGTAACAACAAAAATATATTTAAAAAAATATTAAAAGAAAAACGTTTTTTTTTGTAATGTTTTCAAATATTATTTTTTGGAATATCTTAGGCCCTCGCAGAGCCCTGACGGCTCGCCACTGAAATTCAGCCATGTACCCCCTGATCAGCACAAAAACAATTTGTTAGGGAATAAATGCCTATATAAAGAGGTACAGTACAGTGCTGCACCATCGGTGTCTGATTTATTAAAACAACAACCTGAAACACTTAAATGCTACATTTCAAATGTTTACAATCCATCACTAAATTCATGGCAAACCAATTTTAACATCATGCAATAACACTAAGACGACATTAGTTGCATTGAACTGATCTTTTTAATAAGTTGTACTTACAATATAGTGAGAAACATGGGCTTGTGCTTCACTGAGGATCTTTGTTATTCTCAGTGACAGGAAAGCCACTGCAGTTATTACACTTCGCGTTTTGAAATATGTGTAACTCTGTTAATATAAAACCCACACTGCTCAAACTTCGTTACATTTCCTAAAAATTTTTTTTTTTTCATTAAAGGTCCCATGTCATGGCCATTTCCACTGATCATAATTCCATTGTTGAGGTCTACTAAAATAGATTTATACTGTGCAATTTTCCAAACTCACATTGGTTTCGCATACAGCATCTCTGTAAAGTATGTGTATTCAGCAGTATTCACTCTCTCCACTAAACTGCTCGTTGCAGCTCTTGCCCCCCCCCCTCCCTGTGAGCCCATGTGCTCCGATTGGTCGGGACCAGTCGGGACGTTGTGAATCGCGCTGAGCTCCGTGGAGGTGTGATTTCCTTGTTTAGCGATACACAGCAAAACACAGCCAAACTCAACCTGAGCACACACAAAGTCACAGCCGAAGTAAAAACAATAAGTGTGGCTTGATATTGATTAAGAAAAAGGTTGATAAACGCTGTGAGAATGGGTCTGCAGAGAGAATGGGTCTGCAGGGAGAATTTCGCCGCGATCCCAACTGTCTGTTATCAGCCTGCAGCCAGGGAGGAGAAATCAGCAGAGCTGCCTGCACTGAGTGTGTGAGGAAGTCCGTGGATTGGTCAATTTGGACCAATCAGCGGGGGCTTAACGTAACGGCTCCGCGGACGTAACGTAACGGCTCCACGGATTGGTCCATTTCGTTCCGGGGACGACATGACATCATGATGTACCCGGAAAAATCAAATGGATAGTGACGTATCTCCAACGAGGCGTTTTGGGGAGGTATTTTCTGTTTTAGAGTTTTACTCGCTACTAGGTGTACTTTGAGGGTTTTGACTCTGCACACCGTTTACATGCATAAAAACCTTCATAACACACAAGGGGACGGGTAATAACCGGAAAAGCATGACATGTCACCTTTAACATAAAAATAAATCTCACGTACCCCCTGCAGTACTCCAACGTACCCCTAGGGGACCGTGTACCCCCATTTGAGAACCACTGCCTTAGATAATAAGAGACCAGATAACAGGGGAAAGAGACGTTCCTTGAAGGAAGAGGGAGGGGGTACTGAGTAGCTGGCAGCCCCTCCCAACAGTGTCCTCACTGCTCAGGGACCCCCACCGTATTACCAGTTCCAGGGCAGTAACAGAGTAGAGATTGCACACCTACCTCAAGAGTCAATGTCATGCATATCAGTTATTCTGGTCCATAGCCTTTAGGAGAGTGTGTTATGATGATTATCAGTTCATTTTGTGATTATCATTAAAAGAGATGTTAATTCTTGTTTGAATTGTGTCTTTTTCCGTCTTTACCAGCTGGGGAAATAACTTATGTTAACAGAGCTGATGCTTGAAATTCATTTTTTTCTTCGTGCCATACTAGTGCTTAAAATAAGGCTTTTTAGCCTTGAAGTGGATGCTTTATAGACAGGTCCCTTGTATTTAGTTAACATAACATAACATAACTAAAATAAAGACAAAGTTGCTTATCAAGACAAGGCAAGTAACATTTACTTGAATTAAGTCAAAAAATCTTCCATAGAAAGCACTAGATAAGCTATTTAAACTCAAATCAAGACAAACTAGATTTAGAATCTAAATATAAGATTATTACACTTGGTTAGATCTGCAGTTTTTGCAGTGAAAAACAATGCATTTATAATTATATTATTGTGCAATATGTTCAGTCTTTCCTGCTTCTTCTAATCCTGCGACACCAAAAAGAGAAGTAAAAGATGATTGTTTTGCAACTTATTTAGTAATTTTTTGTTGTTGTGGTTGTTCTGCCTGTCTTTGTAGTAACACATCTCTTTGTGCTTATTTTGTGTTTTTGGGTGGTCGTTCTGCATGTATGGAACTCCAGGCGGAATTGTCTGTTTGCAGGAAAAATAACATGTGAACTTTCATTGCACACTCATCGGATTGAGATCAATGTGAAAAGGGGATCAACTTCAAAGTGGTTTCATAAGATGTGGAAGGTCCCGAAAACACACACGGTTGCATAAATGTGTGTGTGCACGCTCTCTTCAAGAAGAAGAATATTTAAAAGTTTTATTGGAACAGAGATTAAAGCGTGAATGAAAAGAGAGATGAAGTGAGGTTGTTTTGTTTAAACGATGTATGTGTTTGTATAAAGTGGAGCTGCTGATCCAAGCTGACAGGAAGTGATGAGACAGTCCAACATCAACATTACGGGAAACACACACACACACCATGCAGGGTCAAAAAGGCATGTCACAAACATAATATAATCGCCAACAGAAACAAACAGAAAGCAAATAGGAGTAATATTGCGGCAGTAATCTTAAACAAAGTGCCGCGAGGGACTAAACAAGAGAAAAAACACTGTGGACGCGCAAAAACTCAGTCTTTCCAACACAGTATGCGTTTGACCTTTTATTTCCAAAGCAAAAATGCAATATTCCATATCCATATATCCTTGTATGCGTGCGTGCGTGCGGTCAACAAAAATGGTCCTTCTCGAGCTCACTCCCCCATCTATTACAAAGTGCGCAGGTAAAAGCAACCGGATATAAGCACAACCGTCACCACTCAAATCCAATGACACGCCCACCACCGATAGTGACTCAAAAAACATGTATCGTAACAAACACAGAAATGGCTTCATATGTGGCTCCTATAAGTAATAACGAGTAAACAACTTAACATTTCTGAATGGGATATTATTTGGATAATTTTGCAGTGCTTTTGCGTACAGTTGTGATGGTTTTGTATCTTTGGTGTTCATTTTGGGTCACTTTATTGTTTCATTTGTGAACAATTCCAACGTTTTATGGTGGTTGTGCATCTTTCTGTGACCATTTGGTCATTTTTTGAGTTGGTTTTACATCTTTTTGTGATCGTTTTGCAATTGTCTGTGATGGATTTGTATCTCTGTGTCCTTGGGTTGGTTAGTGTCTCTTTGCAGTCATGTGACTTTCCAAGAAGAATCCCCAGGCTTTGCCTCCCCTCTTGTTTAGCAAAGCATCCAATGAATATTTAAGTGGTAAAATATGTAAGTGTGTTGAAACTTCTTTACCCATGAAGTAAAAATCCCTCTAGGCTCTACTGCCCTGACACACACACACACACACACACACACACACACACACACACACACACACACACACACACACACACACACACACACACACACACACACACACACACACACACACACACTGGACATATGGTCTGTGGTGAGTCAGAGGGTCAACAGGGGGACACCGTCACAACACCAAACACACCTCATCTGATGTCTGTAACCCTGTCACCTCACACACACACACACACACACACACACACACACACACACACACACACACACACACGTGTTTACAGTTGGCTTTATTCACCACAGCTGCTCTGTGAGACCTCACCGTGTGGCTGGCTTTATTGTATTTAAACTAAAGTATAAAATATTCCCAAAATAGTTGCTCTTTTTAAAACACACGTTTTGTTATTATTATTACATTTGTATTGTTTCAAATTGAGTCCATGTCTGTGTGTTGTGCAGGAACTGGTGTGCGTTTGTTCAGAGGCACGTTGTGTCCAGGGCGGTGGTGTGTGGAACAGAGAAATACACCATCGAGTCTCGGAGTCCGTGTCCCAGCCGCACCCCCGACTGTCATCTGATCATGTGAGTACACAACAATAACAACAACAAAAATGTATATATCATTTATTCGTATCTCGTATATGTTTTAAAATATTTGTAGGATTTGTTTCATATTTTATTGCATTTTCCTTATATTCTATAATAATTGTTCCTGTACATATTTTTATAGTTTTTTTCTTTTTGTATTATATTTCTATACCTCGTATTATTGGGGGATTTATTATGGTATTTCTGTGAGAGAAAACTACTTTAAAGAATATGTTTTGTAAAATTCATACCTTTTGTACACATTGCAGGTGAATAGGGTAATAATGTAACTCAAAGATATAACTATATACTAGGTAAAGGGGGGTTTGGATATCTCTTTGTATCACTCTATAAATCAGAAACTGTAAACAGCCATTAAGAAAAAGCTAAATCCAAGGTTATTGAATTTCAAAAATGATAATTTATTGGATGAATATTCCTTTAATTCTGACCTGACAGCACCAGCAGCTGTTCCCTATTTCAGGGATGTTTTGAACTTTTAAATTCAATTTGAGGTGTTTTCAGTTCTTCATCGAATTTGTCCCATGCAAGTTGAGTCACTTAACATTTAGTGTGTGTGTGTGTGTGTGTGTGTGTGTGTGTGTGTGTGTGTGTGTGTGTGTGTGTGTGTGTGTGTGTGTGTGTGTGTGTGTGTGTGTGTGTGTGTGTGTGTGTGTGGGTGTGTGTGTGTGTGTGATTGTGTGTGTGTGTGTGTGTGTGTGTGTGTGTGTGTGTGTGTGTGTGTGTGTGTGTGTGTGTGTGTGTGTGTGTGTGTGTGTGTGTGTGTGTGTGTGCGTGTGCAGGTACAAGCTGTCGTCCCGGCCGCTCTACAGGCAGAAGCAGCAGATTGTGAGCGCTCTGCTGTGGCGCTGCTGCCCGGGACACGGAGGACCCGACTGTGAGGACACAGGTGGGTCAGCAGATCTGATGTGTAAACAACACACACACATCACACAATTCCCAGAATAAAATGTAACATTTGGGAGAAGAAACTCCCAAATAATCAAGAAAAAACTCACATTTCTGACAAAACAACAACAACAAAAATATTTAAAATGTATTGGAAAACATTTACAAATTTGCAGGAATAATCTCACAAATGGGAAAAAAATCACATTTATGATAGAAACTCATCTGAAAACGTAATCTATTTTAACCTAATAATTGCAACAACAAAAAATTGCATTTGTGAACATGTCTCTAACATTTAAAACGTTCAAAAAGCTTATATTTGTAAATCAAAAAGGCAGGAATATGGTGTGTATTTCAGATCCGTTTAAACTTATTTTTGCATTTGTAGATTACACATTTACACACAGGTTGTCGATCTGCGCACACACATAATATTAAGACAAATATATCTCCATATATTCTGCTTAGTGATAAAAACTGAAACTTGCGTGGGAAAAATCAGTTTTAGTCGACCCCTCATTCATCATATATTTATCTCTACAGGAGTGCATTTATACAAAAAGGAGTATCGCTCAGGCACTGAAGTCTAGAGACTGTGTGTGTGTGTGTGTGTGTGTGTGTGTGTGTGTGTGTGTGTGTGTGTGTGTGTGTGTGTGTGTGTGTGTGTGTGTGTGTGTGTGTGTGTGTGTGTGTGTGTGTGTGTGTGTGTGTGTGTGTGTGGGGGGGGGGGGGGGGTGCTGGGAAACTGCAGTGTTTATGGTGTATCTAAAGTTAGACGTCCTCTCTTCTATTCTCAGCCTCTTCTTTTGTTTGTGCTGAAACTCAAAGTTTATGAAGGAAAATAAAAAAGTATTTCCTTCATCGCACCGTCAGGAAAACCCCACATCCTGTACAGCCATATCTGTATGTGTGTATATATACTGTATATGTATGAATGCAGAGTTTCAGTGTGGGTAAAGCTCACTGTATGTGTGTGTGTGTGTGTGTGTGTGTGTGTGTGTGTGTGTGTGTGTGTGTGTGTGTGTGTGTGTGTGTGTGTGTGTGTGTGTGTGTGTGTGTGTGTGTGTGTGTGTGTGTGTGTGTGTGTGTGTGTGTGTGTGTGTGTGTGTGTGTGTGTGTGTGTGTGTGTGTGTGTGTGTGTGTGTCCTACAGACCCTGATGCACAGCAGGATCCTGGGAGCTCGGCTCTGATTGGAGGATCTGAACCAGTGAGGACTGAGCTCCACGCTCCAGGTAGCGTCACACCTGTTGCTCATGGTTCAGCTTAAAACGTTTATATTACCGATGTAAAAGTTGTTGAGACATTTCAGGCAGAACTCATGATACTTTACTGCAAGAGCTGCTGGGCTAAAGCCTCTGCTTGGAAGTGACTGCTACTATTTCTACTTGGTAAATAAGAAATAGGTGCAAAAAGAACATGATGAGACACAAAGACGGCCAGAAAGATTAAAAAAGAACAGCAGAAGACACATGATAACCAAAAAGAAATGCACAAAGACCATGCAGAGACACAACATGAACAAATAGAGACACAAAAAGACTGCTAAGAAACAAAACACAACCAAAAGGGATGCATAGAGACCATGATGTGACACATAACAACTAAAAAACCACAAAGTAACATAAAATGACCAAGAAGAGAAGCAAAAAAGAAAAATGACTTCTTATATGTTAGGGGCTTTTCATCGTCTAGTATAGAAATCCATATTAGTCATAGAGGAATCTGTGATCCTGCCTTTTTATAAAATCACATTTTAATCTGTTTACTTATTATTCTGTGCCTGTGAACATGCACACACACACACACACACACACACACACACACACACACACACACACACACACACACACACACACACCGTGCCTCTTAAACAAAGTGAGGAAGCTGTGAGGTCCACCTCAACCTCCTGGTCAGGGCGAGCCGCTCGCGTAGAGGAGAACGCACCAACAAGGTCACCTCACCCCACAAACACACACACACCCTCCGCCTGTAAACGCACAGTGACACACACACTGCAGGTGTTGGTATATTATTGTATTTTCTCCAATAATAGCAACTTTGTTTACTTATATTATATACAAAATTGATTTAAATATACATTTTCTTTTTCACAAACATTTATTTGGAATATTTGCGAATTTCTTTCTTAAAATATGAAAACCATTGCTCTTATGACTTTTTACTCCAAACTTTTTTTATTCCAAATATTACGACCTTCTTGAAATGTAATTTCCTTGTCTTTCTCGTTTTCCTCTCAAATGTCTTTAAATATTGCAGCTGTGTTACCCCAAATATTATCATTTTTTCAGTAATTTATTTTTCTTGATAGTATACTTCTTCATTTTTTTACTTTGACAACCTTTCTCTCCAAAAGACTGCTTTATTTTCTCTTAAATGTTTGACCTTTTTTCCTTGAAATATAACGACCCTCACTAAACTGTTCACAGTGTGTTTAGCAGTGCTAACCCTAACATACCCTGTAGCGGCCAAAATCATATAGAACTAAAACAGATAGTTAACTTAACAGCCGCTGAGGCACTAGTTAGCGGATCTTACGCAGGGCAATGATCATCCAAGTCCAGACAAGAACCTCCATTTGTGCATTTTGTGTGTTCCTTGTGTGTGTGCTCCTTGTGTGTGTGTTCCGTGTGTGCTCCTTGTGTGTGTGCTCCGTGTGTGCTCAAAAACTGTATGGGCCTTCCGGCGGAACCTCTCCCCAACACACATAGGTTCCTACCTTTATACCCACAGTTAATTGGCTCCTACCTTCAGCTCCTGCAGTGAACTTGAGAAGAGCTTTGTTGAAACAACATATTGTTAATAATAATTCAGCTTGTTAGAGGACTTATTGTGTGTTCCTGCACACATTTTAATGCTAAGCTAACATTTAGTTGTATCCCTCTTTTCTTTGTCCACTGTTGTTCTTTCTGCCCTTTTCATTGTCGGTCAGCTTTCAGTTCTCCGTGTACAGAATAACATGGTGGTGTTCACAACATGAAATATTTTGTACCATGAGTAACTCTGAGAATCAAAACAGTCCATGTTTTTGGAAAGAAATCAGACTAAAATAGACCTTTGGCTTTGGAGGCTTGATTTAACAAAGAAAGAGAAACAAAGAGGACACACACACACACACACACACACACACACACACACACACACACACACCCCTCGGCATGGTCCGCTCCCACCACGCCTCCGATTGAGCCGACTTCCTGCGAGATGAAGTCAACGTAATAAAATCCTCAGCCCGGCAGAAACAGGCTGGACACAATAACAGGAACACTTTCAAATACAAACGCACAACACACACACTGAATGAACACACACTACAACATGTACACACACTACAACATGTACACACACTGCAGAATGTACACACATCACACTTTTGTTCTGTAAATACTTCAACATATTTTTTACTCCAAATAGAGACTTTTTTCTCTGATTATGATGACAGTTTTTCACTGTATATTTCAGTGCAAATACTTACTGATGAGGTTTCTAAAAAGAAAATGGTGGTGTTTTTGCTGCTCATTTGTTACATTTTTTGCTGTCAAAATGTATTATTCAAAACATGAAAGGATATAAAGTTAAAGGACTGAGAAAACTTGAAGCGGCTGTTTGAATGTATACCAGAAAAATGTATGTGGAAAAAAAACATGACAAATAAATATAATATATGTGCACCAAAAGCATCATATTTTTAAATAAGAAAATACTATTACATTATTACAAACAATACTATACAAAGTTATCAATTCAAACCTGAATGCCATAGAGCATAATAAGGCTTCTTTAAAGGGGACCTATCATGCAAAATGCACTTTTTATGTCTTTTATACATAAACATGTGTCCCCGGTGTGTCAGGGAACTCACGCAGCGTCAGAAAATAAAACCCTCTCTCTTTTCCTCCGTACCCAAATCTCTAAAAACGGGGGTACAACGGAGCTGATCCAGATTTGCGTCCGATATGACGTAATATCTGAAATGTGGACCCACGGCCCAATCAGAAACGTTGCTATCAGAAACAATGCCCGACTGTTTTGGACGTAATATGGTCGGTGTTTACATTAGCATCGCTAACACTCAGAGCTAACCTGTACTGGAGAGCATGTGTGTGAAGAAGCAGGAAGTAAAAAGGAACTCACCTTGTGGTATAACCGGCAAGAGAGAAAGCCTTTGAGCTCCAAACTGTTTCAGAGAGAATCCTTGATAATCCATGATATGGCGTTTCATCACGGCAGCATTTAGTTTAGACAGTAGCTGCTGGGTCCCGCATGAGCTCAGACCCCTCCTTTTATTTATCAATTATTTATTTTTTTTAAGCTTTATACCCCAAATCAGCACTTTTGAAACAGGAAGTGAAATAGAGGGATATGAGGCATGGCTAGAATGGGTGATCTGTTTGGTATTTTGAGCAAAACACTTCATAGACATGTTTTTTATATATTTTTTATATATCTGAGAGCTATGCTATTGCCTAAAAATAGCACGATAGGTGACCTTTAAAATACATTTTTTAACATTTATAAGAATAGCTAACTCATATCAATCGATAGGTGATAGTTTGCGTGTCTCCTCTTCACATCCTAAGCCCCAGCTTCACTCTTGTTTGTTGGGAAGCAGTTTCCAGAGTCAGCTGAACATGATGGAGGAAGCAGTTTTATGACTGTGCAGGACGTCCTCCTGCAGACTCTGTTCCTGCTGTCGCTCTCTCTCAGAGTACACAATGAACTCAGAAAATCCCCAAATACATCAAACCCCAACCTTCCCCCCGTCCGTCCGTCTCACTCTCTACCCGTCTGTCCCACTTCCTGTCTCTCAGTTTCAGCATGGACACAGTCAAACGAATAAGCTTTATCATACTGTATCCTGTAGGATCAATATTGCTTTTCATATCTATTATAGATTTTTGGAATACTCATTGTGTCTGTTTACCTGCGGTTAAGAAGTATTCAGATCTACTACTGCAGGAAATACTCTGGCACAGTTAAAGTCCTGTATTTAAAATAGTTAAAGTATATAAGATCAGAAACATTTAGATAAAGTATCAAAGGTATGCACATTTCCCAGGTTTATATTTTATTTTATTCTATATATTTAATTTTTTTTTAATACATATTTGCATCAGATTTTATTCAGATGTTATTGTATTCTTTTCTATTCCATGTGCACGTTTATTAGTACTGTTTTCATAGTTTATGGTGTTTTTGTACATATAATTTAAAAATGTTCATCATTTATCTTTATTCCATTATATCATGAATCTTCAATATTTTCATTACCAGTTTTTATTTTTGTATTTTTCATTTTTAGATTCTGACTGGTTCTGATTTCCTTCCTAAGGTGTGCAGGCTCAGCTCCAGCAGCAGCGCAGCGACCCAAATCGGGAACAGAACGACTACCAGGACCCCCGGGTTCACCACAATCACCAGGACCACCGGGAAAACCAGAATCACCAGGACCACCGGGAAAACCAGAATCACCAGGACCACCAAAAGAAGGAAGAATACCAGCATCACCAGGACAACCGGGAAAACGAGAAAGACAAGGACCTCCAGGACCTCCAAAACCTGTATGACAAACAGGACCACTGAGACCAACAGCACCACGCCCCCCCCCGCTGGACCAGGACTACCAAAAGCAGGATGAACACCAGAATCATCAGGAAGACTCTGACAACCAGAAAGTCCAGGACCTCCAGGACCTGTATGAGCAGCAGGAACAACAGACCGACAGCACCACGCCCCCCGCATTAGACCCGGACCAGAGCCACACCTCACCCCCCACCGCAGACCCAAATTACCTCCACCATCACAGGGAGACGGAACACTTCCGTCCTGGTGAGTGTTTTTGAATGGATTGGTTAAAATTACATTGAATTGTATTGAAATACCTTTTTCTTTTTGTATTAAAGTTTTTATTTATCAACATACATGGTACATCGCTCACATGGTACAGCATACAGAAAGAGGAAGGTCAGGGTACCAAACATGTTAGTTAAAGGTCCCATGTCATGGCCATTTCTACTGATCATAATTCCATTGTTGAGCTCTACTAGAATAGATTTATATTGTGCAATGTTCCAAACTCACATTGGCTTCTCACACAGCATCTCTGTATAGTATGTGCATTCACTCTCTGTCCTAAACAAGAAGTTAACAAATGGAAAAAGAGAAATCTCCAACGATGCGTTCAGGGGCAGCACAGACAGGTATTTTCTGTGTTAGAGATGTTACTCGCTACAGGGTGTACTTTAAGGGTTTGTGACTGCAGAGCGTTTACATGCAGACAAAGCTACATAACACACAAGGGGACGGGTAATAACCAGAAAAGCATGACATGGGACCTTTAAGTGTTCCTGGTTAAAAGAAAACAGGAAAATACAAAGGTGTAAGATTACCAATCAGACACTACAGCGATCATAAAATAATAACAACAAATTATGCTTGATTAGAATAATTGTACAAAGGCCCCTTTTGTGAGAGTCCTACAGTCAGGCTACTAGTTAGAGGTCAGTAATCCCAACTTCCTAGAACCACAGGTCCTCTACCCCTCATTCTTGCCAACATAACCTCATATGATGCTGTTTCACTCTTCAGAGCCTTCCATTCATTACATGCTGGGATTCTGGGTGATTTCCAGCGTTAAATACACTTTTTAACAAAACATGAGTTTATTCATTTCATAAAATAATCATCTCATGCTTTATACACTCATACATTAATGAATGATTGATAATGACCTAAAGATATAATATATACTAGTTTAACAGTCACAGCCTAGGGTATTTAATACTTTAAATACATTATTATATATATAAATACATACCGATACTGCAGTACTTCCTCCACATCTGATAATGTAGTATGTTGTCTTTCTATGTCGTCACTCCTCGGCTCCAGGAGGTCACACAGACACACACTTCCTTCAGAGGATATCCTGTGTGTGTGTGTGTGTGTGTGTGTGTGTGTGTGTGTGTGTGTGTGTGTGTGTGTGTGTGTGTGTGTGTGTGTGCGTGCGTGCGTGCGTGCGTGTGTGTGTGTGTGTGCGTGCGTGCGTGCGTGTGTGTGTGTGTGTGTGTGTGTGTGTGTGTGTGTGCGTGCGTGCGTGCGTGCGTGCGTGCGTGCGTGCGTGCGTGCGTGCGTGCGTGCGTGTGTGTGTGTGTAACTTTAAGATGTCACTTTATGTAACCCGACCAAAATGTGTATTACATCACACACACACACACACACACACACACACACACACACACACACACACACACACATCCGTCCTGTATGAGCCTTGTTTGGGGATTGGTCTGCTCTGATGTTCCCACAATGCTCTGTTTTCTCTCTGACCTGTGACCTCACTCTCACCAGCCAACATTACATCATCCTTAAAGGAAAATATTGCAGATTTAGTTTTTATTTCAACAGCTCAATCTGTCCCTCAAAGTCAGTTTTCTAGATGTAGGTATTTTCTATAAATGCATCATTGTGCCCTTAAAGGGATAGTTTGGATGTTTCTACGTTAAAAAAGGGATTTACAGAACGCTATATTTGGAATTGTTTTTCACCAACTTCATTGACAAAAACAGCAATTTTACCTCACAGATTTTCAGGAGATGCTGGTCCATTGCTGCCTCAATCAGTTATATAGATTATGTTATTTTGTGACTTTGAAGAGATCATAAAGTGTGAGAATATTGTGTTCCGTCGTTTAAAAAAAAAGGGTTTATCAAAGGTAATATTTAGAATAGTTCTCCACCAAACTACATTGACAAAATCAGTAATGTTTACGTTGCAGGACACAGGAGTTGCTAATGTATCACTGACTCAACAAGTTAGTTTGTTTGTGCTTTTGTGTGACTTTGGTGGTTTAAACAGTTAGTTCAGATTCACCAAATTCACACAATAACCCAAACTAACTAACCAGTTGGTGGAGCGATACACCATCAACTCCTGTCTATCTTCAAGGTAAAATGATTGTTATTGTCAATGGAGTCTGGTGGCTTTGAAACGAAAATTGGAAAGGTTTGTCTGATAGCCATGTTAAGTGGTGAAAATATTCTAAAAATAGTGTTCACTTAAACTCAGAGATACATTATTAGGTGCCTAAAATAGGCAAACAGCAGTGCATTGCTTTTCTTGGTAATACACTGATATGGAAAAAGACCTCATTCAACCTCACCAAAAACACCCGAAGTCTCCTTTTAGTGGACAAACCAGGCGAGGGTCACTGAGGTTTCCCGTCTCCTCCACTGTTTGTTGTCTCTGTTTCCCCACGTGTCTCATTAAAGTATCGTCTTACCGTTTTTAAATCGTGACATTTACAACAAAACGCCAGAAGAAGAAAACAGAGCCACAGTTGTGCAGCACACGTCGTTCTGTCAGAGCAGGAAGTGGACTGTGCTTCGGCTCCGTAAATCACACTGACAGTCATTAGATAGAAACACTGCCAGCTGACCAGGGTCTGTCGGATTTCAAAACACACACACACACACACACACACACACACACACACACACACACACACACACACACACACACACACACACACACACCTACTGACCTGGAACGTCCTGTTTCAGTGTGGCCTCACTGTACTGCAACCTTTGACCCCTCAAGACCCTGCAGCATGTGGTAGGGTTTGGTGTGTCGTAATGAAAACAGGTTGTGATGAAAGTGTGTGTGTGTGTGTGTGTGTGTCTGGACTGTGTCTCCAGAGTAACAGCAGTGACCTGAGGCAAATACACACTTTTGTTTGTTTTTCTGTACCGGTGGGGACCCCTGAGTTCCATGATACATTCCTGACCCCGTCCAAATCTGTCTGAAAACGTAAAAGTGACAAGTGAGAAAAAAAAATCTGGTGATTTCAGTTTGATCTGAATAGTTTTGGAACAGGTTGCCTGCATTTCTTTTCAAGTTTATGATGTATTTATTAAAAACGGTTTTGCCCGGCGAATTCTTCTAAGTTTGTCTTATTTTGTCATCTGTAGAAACAAAGTGATCTTTTTTCACATACCGTATCTTACTTACGTACATAAAGTATATGTATGTCCACTTAGGGGGCATGCAATAAAATGTAATATGGATAATTTTAGTTTTTCAGAAAATGGGTTAGTGCTGCACGTTAGCCTCTTGTGGCCAAAATGTGTATTACAACCACAAAAATATAAAAACTTTAAAAAGATAATTTCTCCTGACAAAAAACACATTTTCCACAGAAAAATTATTACTAAAAGAAAAACAACAAATTATCCTTTTGTGGAAAAAAAACGGGGGATAAAACTACCAAACTTGGAAAATTGGTCACACAGTAATTGTTTTGTCCTTATTTGCCTCTCAGGGTTTTTGTATGACTTTTTTTTTTTTTTTTTTGGGGAGTATGCCTCCGGGTAGTCCAACCCTCTCTCCTGGACACACAGAAATGAATGTATCTAATATCTGACTGTCTGTCCTGATGGAAACTCATCAACATCAGTGTTTTTGGAAACCTTGGTGCTGTTTTAGTGTTTCCCAGGCGGAGGGCTGTGCTATGTTTATATTCCCGGTTAGGAAAGCATTTTTAGAGCCACAAACTACGGGTCCCGGGAAAGCCATGAATCAGCAGGGAGTGTGTGAGGATTAGTTTAGTTTTTTTTGTGAGTGTGGGTGTGTGTATACAAATCATAATTAGAAATACATTATTCATCAAGTTTCAAGGAGGAATCCTAATATGGTGACTTTACATGTAGACCTTGTCAAACACAAATACAGTAAGCTAAATGCATGCATGACACTGGGGACTGGTGAAAACTGGGGAGGAAGTTTATTTTGGAAATTATTGGACAAAAAACTTTATTGGCTTTTTAGCTAATTGTAATTTGAGTGGTTCCCCAGAGCAGGGCTGTATTTAGGACAAACTAAATTAAGAACAGGTCGTAGGAAGTAAAAGTTAAGAGCATGAGTAAGAGAACTTTTTTAAATCTATAATAGTCTTTCAATAGTTAATCCCCTGCTTTTTGTGGTTGATGTATGCAGAATACCGGAGAACAGACTAACAAGGTACAAAAAGATGATTTAGAGCAGTTCAAAAATAAATAACTGGCAAAAAATGCCTAAAACTTCAGAGTACAATAGGTCAGAAGTCCAAGATAGAAATAAAATGGACTCGATCCAGGAACGGGAACAACAGGACGCAAACAAAAATCCAGAGAACTAAGGTTGTAATTAACAACACACCAGTGACTCAGTGTTTCCCACAGATATGAAATATACTTGGGCGGGTGGTGGCAAGGAGGGGGGGGGGGGTGCGCGAAAAAAAAAAAAAAGTTTTAACAACATTATTTATTGACTTTTCATTCCGGTATAATCATTTTGCGCAAAGATGGCACTGTTTGTCAGAGCACTTCATCCTTCTGGGATTTCATGAAGAACAGCTCCAATGCCTGTGTGTATGGGAATGCCTCTGGTGCTGGTCCATTAACTGCCAGTGTTTCCCACAGATCTGAAATATACTTTGGGGGTGGTGGTAGCGGGGGGGGTTGAGGTGACGTGCAACAACATTAACCTTTCTGTTGGTCGCTTGTTAGCAGACCCTTCACGCGATGGCAGAGCGAACAGGTACAGGTACAGGCAGGGTCCATAATGATAGCCCTATAGTTTAAATCTACTACCCACACATGAACATATGGAAATGGGTTACTATTTTAAAAAATAAATGTATTTATTAATGTATTTAGGAACCTATCCATGTGATTTTTAGTGGGGGTCGACCTCAAATCCTCTAGGGGGGTCCAGGGGAATGCCCCCCCGGTAAGATTTTATTTTTTATTTTGGAGTTAAATGCATCAATCTGGTGCATTTTGAGGGGAAAATAAAGAGACTAGATCTATGGAAACACCTATATTAAACAGAACTGTATACATTTCAATAATCATAAAATCAAGGCCATAACCAATAACATACCATTTCCAATATGAAAAAAACACTGAAACTTGTTAATTTATTTTTGGTTCATTTATAGTTGTGAGTGTGTCTGTGCTCCTGAATCAGCCTCTCCTGTCTCCATCCTCTCCCCCCTGCTCCTCTTTGAGGCAGCAGCAAAGACTAGTTTTCTCTCAACAAGTTTTAAAAGTGTATCTTACCTTTTTTCACCTAGTTAACTTTTTATTTATTTATTCATGCATATTTTACTAATCACATTACATTTCATTTAGCTGACGCTTTTATCCAAAGCGACTTATAATGACCGATTACAGGGACATTCTCCCTGGAGTAACTAAGGGCTAAGTGCCTTACTCAAGGGCACACTAGTGGTGGTGTTCCTGGCGGGATTTGAACTCACAGCCTTCCGATCTTCAGCCCACCTCACTATCCATTAGATCAATCACTACCCTCTCAAATGGAAATATGTGTTTACATAAATGGTGACCACACCGTTTGAGACCCACTGAGAACTTAGACTAAGTTAACTATCTAAACACTCAGAGAGTCCTTTACCTCACCTGAGCTGAGGTTATCCCGAGCTTGAATGACACACAGAGACCAATCAAGGGCTTTGATTTATGATCTGTATGACAGTGGCCATGTCGGCAGGCCACATCATGTGGACAGCCAGTCACCCTGTGTGAGGCAGGCCACTTAACAGGCCAGAAGGAGGCGAGATCAGAGCAAGGGAGCGAGGGATCATTGTCTACAAGTTAATCGATCGCAGATGGCGTCGTGGTCACGGACGAATAAAAAAAAAAACTTATAAAAAAAAAAAAACGAAATGGGTCGCGAAATATACTTGGGCGGCCGTTAATATACCTGGGCGGCCCAAGTATAGTCTATGTGTGGGAAACCCTGGACCTATAAGGCAGACACATTCAGTTATAATATAATAAGTAAAGGTAACCACAGTCCATTCATAGCATTTTTGTCTGCAGTAGATTTTTTTCATGGAATACTTTTTGAATATTTATTTATATATATTTGGAGAGCCAGAAACTTCCGATACCTGCTTGCTGAACATATTCCAAGTAAAGAAAACCAAACAAAAACCAGAAAGAGAAAATAGCGTAAGAGAAGGAAAGTGGTTAAAAGACACATCAGAGAAATCAGCAGAAGAAGAGAGAAAATAGTAAACACTGAATGGAACACGGTAACGGGTTTGCAGTGTTAAAAGACTGGTTGATGGAAAATAAGTAACTATCCGTGTAATTAGCATGATGAAATGTGTATTAATTAGTTTTTACTCTGGTTGTAGATGAGCTGGATGCCCCCTCCACCCCCTCCACCCCCCAAATGGTGGCGCTGATCCTGTCCCAGCTGCAGCCGCTCCTCCAGGGCTTCAACCGCTCCCTGGAGCTACTGACCCGGCAGGTGGGGGACCTGGCCCGGGACGTGGCCCAGCTGAAGAGCCTCCCTCTGCGGGATGAGATGCTGGCGGAGCCCCTATATAACCCTGGGCTGGACGAGGCCGCGGAGCAACGCCTGGAGGCCAAACTGGAGGATCACATCAGGGAGGTCCAGAGGCAGTTAGAGGACCAGCGGAGCCACATGGAGCACAGGCTGCACTCCCAGCATGCAATGCTGCACTACAACCTCACCAACTTTAAGACGGACATCGACGTGAAGTTGAAGCGAAACCAGAAGATGCTGCAGGTCAGTGTACCCCAGCGACAGCTCCAAGCTGAATGAAGGCTATATTTATTGCCAAATAAGATATTCACTTAGAAGGTTAACGTCCGTGTTTGGTGCATACAATTCATATATCAAGAGGAAATAAAAATACAGGCTAAGTACGGCAGCAGTCAAGATATTAACAAAAATAAACAAAGACAATAAATAAATAAGGATCAGGGCTATAAATACTGATTATTTTCAGTATATCGCTTTGTCACTATTTAAAATTGATTAATATATTGTTTACTCTGCCTATTATAAAGGGAGAAATCACACTTTTATTTTAATGTTCATAAAGTCTTAAAAAAAAATGTTTTTAATGTTTAAAAGATGATGATTTAATACTCAAATTACCTCATTGCCTCTGATCACAGGTCAGCCTACAGGCCATGAACGCCACACTGACGGAGCTGAAGCTGGACCAGGACCTGGACCAGGACCTGGACCAGGATCAGGATCAACCCCCTCCTCCCTCCATGTCTACCCGCCGCCCACTGATGCAGTCCTCAGACACGGCAGCGCTCTGGGAGGCCGTCGAGCGTCTGGACAACATGGTGGTCAACAACACGGTGAAGGTAAGTCGCAGCAATGCATGATGGGAAATGTAAAACAAATCTTACTATCTGAAGAAGCGAAGACTCCAACCAACTATTAATTGTGAGCATCAGAAAATGGAAGTCATAGAGAATGGATGTCAAATGTTTCCCAAATCAGTAGATGGTGACAGTAAGAAATAGCAGAACGGATATAAAAGTGACAACATTACTTAGAATAAAGGATTTCAAGATATCTGTTATCTTTTTTTATTACTGCAAAATTGGATTCCATATTCAATTTCATTTTATTCCATTCTATTTCTATGTAAATACAGATATATTTGACTATATTCTTTATTA